ACCGTTTCCCTGACCCGACGACTTGGCCGTTGTCACCTACGATATTGCCGCTTGCGAATCTCTCCCATTACGCCCTGCGTCCCTGCAACTCCAACTGCCTCGGTCGAGATCAGTGTGCTGCTCCACGTCCAGTCTGTCCTGCTTCCGTGGTCTACCTCGTTTCTTGTCCCTGTAGCTGCACGTGGTTCTGCACGTGGTTCTCGACCTCGGCGTGGTCGTCCACCGAAGTGTCCAGTGAAGTCTGTGTCTGAGGTGGACTTGTCCAAGTCCGCTGTGGATACGCTTGCCGACGCCTCCTCCTTTTTGTCGGGCGGAGGGCTGGAGCCAACCCAAACAACAGTCAACAAGAAGAAGAGACCGATACGGAAACCACCGAAACTGACATCTGGACAATCGAGCCCCGGACGAGTCACCAGAAGTCAATTGAGGAGACGAATTGATGACGAATCAAAAGAACCAATACTGGAAGTGACAACAACGGTTAATGTGAAGAAACGAGGTAGACCACGGAAGCAGGACAGACTGGACATGGAGCAGCACACTGATCTCGACCGAGGCAGTTGGAGTTGCAGGGACGCAGGGCGTAATGGGAGAGATTCGCAAGCGGCAATATCGGAGGTGACAACGGCCAAGTCGTCGGGTCAGGGAAACGGTACCTCGGCAATCAAGTGTCACCTGTCGGGCAGTGCTAGTTGTTGTGAGTGGTATTCCGATGATGTATTCTCTGTTTTGTCGCATGGTAGGTCTTTGTTACATCTTGCCGTGTTGGAAGCTTTGTACATACGTAAGTTAGACCCTGAGCTTTGTGTTCAGAAGGAGAATGTGTTGTCTTTGCAGTTGTTTGGCACTGTTCGTCGTGAAGGTGCGAAATAGATCTCTTGATATTTCTCTCTTTTTCTTGTCACTACGTTTTTGTCACTTATTGGATTTGCATGCTGTTTTCTTGATTCTTCACATCTATTTTTTCGTGTCACTTCTACACATAATTGGAGTGATATATTTCTGAACTTCTTTTCCTTATAGTTGTAGTCTTTTAGCTTATTTCCATCATTCCCTGTAGTATTTTGACAAGAAGGGAACGAAAACGTTCAATACTTTGACACATGTCCTAATTGGCTGGTGGTGACTCTTGCGTAGATGCATGCGTAGATAATACATTTTTTTGTATTATTTTCTGCCTCCGTCCTACTTTCAAATAATAATAATAATGATAATAATAATAATAGTTCGAACTCAGATGGTGAGCCAAGGAATTTTAGATTTGAAGATATGGAAATCAGTGGGGCACAATTTATGCTGTAGAGTCGGCGTATGCGTATGCGTCTAAGCACCTCATTCCCGCTCGTTCCTCATTCTTCCTTCCATTTGGCAAATGCTGGTTTTATATGTAGGACTCAGTGAGCAGTCACGTCTCGATGACCGATCACGATCCCCGTGACCAATCAAACAGTCACAAATCCCCGAAGAGCAGTCATAAAGTCACACTCCAGTTTGAATCCCGATGACCAGTCACCATGGTCACAAACAGCCGCGACTTTCTCTGTGAACGGTCACAGGGTCCACGTCAAAATATTACGACTCAACTGTAGGCACTCACGCGATCAGCATACCTTTTTCCTTCACAGGTTTCAGAACTTCAAGTGTCAGAAGTGAGCAAGAAAGATTTCGATCAACTCTCGATCTCCGCGTAGTTTACTTGTAGCTCGAGTCTGGTGTGTGTGAGCTCCTCTCCAAAACGAAGGGTGGTCGAAAATCTTGCAGGCTTCAGATAGAATCTCTTTTGAGAGGACGTTCTGTCATTGTGCTATTCGTCATATTTGAAGAACAAACTTCGTCGTTCAGAAAAGCTATTTCGGAATATTTTCAGTCAAGTAATTTTTTACATGCCGATCTTGCTAAAACGGAGACTGATTTCAACTGATCCAGCATACAAGCAGCACTCGCTTTGTGTTTTTGGAGAGGATGGGCGACAAGATTACGGAGTCAGAAGTGAACATCGTCGACAATGCAGAGACGAAAATATAATGAAGATGGAAAATAAAATAATTATGTTCATGTACAAGAAGGTACTGAGTACATCAAGCACCTTCGTGTGTGGAGCTCTGTCTTTCTTGTGGAAGACTCCACAGAAAAACAATGTCCAGCTTGTTGAAACTGAAACTGCCTCTCAGTTGAAGTCGTTCAGGGAAGACATCTATTCAAGACATCATTGATCCATTCTCAAGAACCATCGTAAGAAATTAAATCAAGTCATGCTAGCGATAAGAATGGCGAACTATCCCCAGAGAAGTGTGAGTGTCTTGAAATGACTGCAGGAAACTGTATTTCAATATTGTGGCTCAACGTAGTGCTTACGCAGTTTACTGCTTCGAACACATCTTCATTCCTTCTCCCAAAACTAACTCTGTAAAATGTATTGATGTAACATTATGGTACATGTACATGTACATGGTCTTTCTCGTTGTGCTGCTTTAACATGTATTATAAGTACATGCATACGAGCACTGTGTACCGTTTACTGTCTCTGTGTCAGTGTTTTTGGGCGATCCTCCACACCTTCATTTGTACATTACGTATTTTCCTTCTACTTATTAACTTTATAGAAATATTCACTCACTACAACTTCTTGTGATTGCTGGTGCAAAATCAACGGTACCCTGCGATGCCTGCTTGTTAGTGAGAGTGCACCAGACATGTATCGATATGTATGTCTGACGAGACGTTTTTGAACTGGCATATCAGTATCACCAAGAGTACGGTTCTTCCGTCTACGCATCTCTTCTTGGCTTGTGGATTGTTTGAAAAGAGATAAAATAATGATACAGAAATACTTGTGTCCAAGTGTCGTCATGAAAACAAGTTCTACCTCCGTAACTTTGTCCGCAAGGTCACGTGAATCTAGCTGGTAGTCCCGCTGCCAATTTGTGTGTGTTTGTGTGAGTGTGTGCGTGTGTGTGTGTGTGTGTGAGTAAGTGTGGGCGTGCATGTGTGAGTGTGTGTGTGCGTGTGCATGCGTTAGAAAGAGAGAGAGAATGTGTGTGTGTGTGTGTGTGAGAGAGAGAGAGAGAATGTGTGTGTGTCTGTGTGTGAGAGAGATTTAGAGAAGGAGTGTGTGTGTGCGCGCGTGTGTGGATGTGTGTGTGTGTCTGTGTGTGTGTGTGGATGTGTGTGTGTGTGTGTGTGTGTGTGTGTGTGTGTGTGTGTGTGCGTATGTGAGAAAAGGGACAGAGTGTAGGTGTGTAATGGTGTGAGCATGTGTGCATTTGGCATTTAAGTCCCCAGCTCTATTCTATATCATTCACGCTGAAACTGCTGCTGCATAGCCCCAAGTCTGAAGACTTGGCAACTTCACCCCTGCACCTGACTCTTGTGCTATGATACACGTCGCCTATGATACCCCTCAGAATTTCCCACCTTGCTCCCCCTTATGTTCAGGCTGTCCGTTTTGGAGCCATCAGTTGCCTGACGATCGTAGTAATACGTGAAACTCAGAGTTGTGACAAAGCTTCCAATCTCTCTTGTAATACAGAGATACATATTATGCCTGTGACTACTCACAGAGAAAGAGTGGTCGCAACTGTACATTCCGCATATAACTGTTCGCTTGGAATTATAATGGTCACAACTGTATTCTGTGACCGCTCAAAGGGAATTATAGTTTCCACAACAAATCTTGCAGTACGAAGCACTCTGCGAGCAGCCACGAACTGTGTGCTTTACACATGTACAATGTACATGTATGGTGATTTGTGACTGGTCATGGGGCATTGTGACTGGTAAACTAATTTGTGACTGGTCATGGGGAATTTGTGACTGTTTGACTGGTCACGGGGACCGTGATTGGTCATGGGGCCTTGACTGGTCACTGAGTCCTATACATTGTGTAATTACTCATCGTTATTTCCAATAATAATAATAAAATAATATCACGATCCGAACTTAAATGGCAGTAAATTGTTTTCATTTTTTGGTGTTGTGTTCTAATCATTCGCCATGCCGCTGTCAATTGTATTCTGTTTGCCAGTAAAAGAGGCCTACTTAAATGGCAGTCGTAAGTCAGTCAAGTGTCAAGTTCGGCAAGAAGCGTGTGTTCCTAGTTGGAACCCTGAATCAACTTAATATCACGAATCCACGATCGTCAATTTATACGAATTTAGGAGTCGGCGACGTCTTCTATCAGATTCCACAGGCGTCTGTTTTTCTCAAAATGCCGCCGAAGTCACACGGATCGATGGCTTTGCCAAGTCATGGCCTGGAGAATGAGTCCGTGTCCATGTCGTCTTCGTCACACGGTGAAGATAAATTGCATCGCAGGGACGCAGCTCAAAGAAACTATGTGGTCATAAAACAAATCGGGACTCATGCGGCACTTCAACATTTACCACGGTGTCGACTTGTCCTCTGTGACTCCATATCGATACGAGCAAGAAATAGGTTGTTTATTGTAAACCAGACGTACATGTACCTCCGCTGCGTGCATATGTTGTCATAGTTTTCTATGCTTTCGCACGGAATATTTCTTCGAGTTCACAGCGAGTTTTTCCAGGCACCACATACGGTAAGACGGCAAACTCCTGGGCGATTGCAGGATTGTCAAAGTTTTTTTTTAATGGATTGTAGGTGCTATTTATGCTAATGTATTTGACTATCTCATTGCACTGGTGGTTTCAGGATCAAAATCGCAGTTCTTGTCGCCGTTTCTGTTGAGTAGTGATAGTTTACAGTAAACGTTGGGCTCTGTTTTGCTTTGTGTTTATGCTGAATGACGCAAATGTACCAGCACTGAAAAAAGTACCCTCTCTTGAATAGTGCCCTCTCTTGAATAGTACCCTCTCTTGAATAGTGCCCCATCTGCGATGGACATTGAAAAAATAGTGCCCCAGGGGCACTAATCGCGTTCCTTTCCTTTCCCGACAGGTGCAGAAAGGGGTTTAAAATCTTCATACTCTTTGATGTTATGCACTGATACTAATACTAGCGTAGTAACCCAAACAGCTTACCATTAACTATGTCATAATTAGACCCTGACAGACAGTAGGAATCACACGGCTCTGTGCTCTCTGCGCAGTTGTAGGTGCTGCCAGTATTTGTGCCCGTGGTCACTTTGCATCTCTTCAGAGGTTGTGCATGGGATGAGGCACTGGGTGGAGTGCCGTTGTTGCAGTCAGTACCGGTGCAGCATCTCCAGCAGTAGGAGAAGGTCAAACCGAACGCGGTATCCGTCTTGCAGGTGTAGTTCTGGGTTCCGCAGTTGATGCGGGAAGCGTCACTGGCGGTGTAGCATTTCTTGTGCCAGTTGGTAACACCAATACCTGCAGAGGGACAGAGGTAAAGAAATATGCCCAATATATGTGATTTTTCTTTATCCTAAGACCTTCGACCGCTTTAGGAGCTGCAGCTGCGCTTTGATCCTTCTAGTACCGGTGGTGGCGTTCCTACGGATCCGGAAGCCCGGCTTCCAGCCGAGTCTCACGCGAACCGTGAAATTAATAAGACCTTCGAGGGCGTTAGGTAATGATTCTAATGAATGACCTAGCGCCCTCGGATAGCTAAGAATCAGGCACTCAGGGTTTCTCTCACTATAGGATTGCCTGTTTCCTTCCTGAGCACTCTTTGTTAGCCCTTGGCGGATTTATGCTCAGTGTATTGCTTTTAACAATACACTAAGCATAGTCCGCCACTGGAAAGCATAAATATAATTATGCTTTCCAGTATGCCCACATTACCAATAAATTTGCTACATTATGCTGGAACTATGCCAGTGATAATGCTACATCATGCTGGAATTATGCCAATGTTAGTGCTATACTATGCTGTGGTACGATTATAATATAATGGTGTGGATGGTGGACTCAGTACAAACAGCCCTTGGCGGATTATGTTCGGTAAATAGCTTTCCATTATGCCTCCCATTATGCTTGAATTATGCCAATGATGGTGCTATACTGTACCCTTGCACTCATGTTGCACTTTGCAACGTTACAACGACTCTAGCAGCATGACAGCACAGCTTATAAGGGGTAACATTCACCAGGTTATTTCTAGTAGCATGCCTAAATATGCCTGGAGCATGAAATCTATCTTCAGCCAGCATCGTAATGTTATACCGACCGTAAGGTCTCAGAAGTGCTTTTATGCCAGGGTGGGTTTTTAGATAAAATCCGAAGATTATGCCAGAAATTATGCCAGCATAATCCGTCAAGGGCAACTCTTTATCCTAGACACGGTTATGTGTGCAGTATTCATCATAACATGCAGTTAGGTACTTCTGCGGTAATTTCACCTGAGCTCGCTTGTGGATACGGCTATTCACCACATCCGCTCATGCTGGATTATTTAGTGATTTTCGAGCCAGGGGTGCACTAGCCCTTTCCCAAAGATGCTCATTATTGCTCGCCACATTATTCGCTACCTTTGGTTGTTTGGAGTGAAGGAGGGAATGGGGCGAGGGATGAGAGCGCATGGACGGCCAGTGTGGAGTCGCGACTGGCAGCTGTTCAGCTGGTTAGTCACCCCGAGCTCCCTCAACGCGGGATCCCTTTTCCTGAACATTCGAACCTTTTTGCAAATTGTCTGTGCATGTGAAAAAGGTTTACCCATGTTGTCTAGTTTTCGACCACGTGGCAAATGTCAATAAACACAACAGACACACGACGACCTCGCGGACGACCACGCCTGAGATGGATCGACGTTGTTAAGAAAGACTCACAATGCATTAATCTCTCGCTTCTGGATGCTGTGCAATCTGCTTCTGATAGAGCTGCTTGGCTCGAAATTGTCACCAGATGCGTTGACCTCATGCGGTGAGTGATATGCGAACTGTCATTATTATTATGGGGTGGCTTTATTGGTTTTGTGTTTGTATTATGCAGCATCCCGGGTCATTTAAGACCATGGGGAGTACTGCTGTTGTATGTGAAGAAAATTATAATAAGGGAGACTGAGAAAAAAGAAAGAAAAAAGAGAGAAATACTGTGAATAGCAAATCTACAATGATGCATGTACAATCTAACATATTGCCAAGTACAACTGGTTTGTTACCACTAGACCAACACGCAATGCCTTATCACTGCCCCGAGCTAGTTCCTCTCTGTTTTTGAAATCCCCTTTCTTCTCAGCATACTCCCTTTGGTCTAACCTGCCTACTAGCATTAAGACATGCCAGGATATCAGGAAATTCACAGTCCAGCTTTCCACACTGTCTCATCCGAAGTGATCCCATGTATTATTAATGTGCCTCCCTTTCTTTTTCTCTCCCTATCTCCTTTCCCTCTCTGACAGCATCTTTCTTTTTTTTTCCCTTTTAGCTTGCCGTGGTTGGCTATCACCTGACCTCTCATGTTTATTGGCAGTCTTCGGACGGGCCAGGAGATGTTGAATAAATAAATAAATAAATAAATCTATTATACAACTAATCTGCTAGAAAGAGACATAACACAAGCAGGTGAAGTAATAGCAAGAGAGCTAAATCAGAAAACAAAAACAAAACAAAATCCGTTGAAAAGTAACCGTCATCAAATCTGAAATCGAGCCCTTCAGCGACACAATAGCACTGAAGGCAGTGATATAATTCTTCTCATTCAACATCAGTGAAGCACCGTCAAAACCGGTGAATGGGGGCTGATGGTATTATTATTATTATTATTAAGCTTACGTGGAGATAAAATGTAATTAACGCAATAAATAGAGTAAGAGTAGGCAGAAAAAGAATTTGTTTACTTTGAAATTAATTGTGAATTTAGACCAGTAGTTCTCGTTTGTGGTTGCATGGTTACTTTCTAGTGGTGAATTTATCTCATCTGTTGTCACCTGATATCGTTGATTGATGTAATGTTTCTTTCAGCTCTCATTTCTCGCGCTAGATAGGGTCTAAATTATTACTTGCATTGTGCGTATATATATTGAGTTTAGAACTAATGATGATTTGCCAGTAATCCTCTGATGAGATGGCGACGAAAACGTTTAGGAACAAGCTTCTATATTTACATGAAAACAAGTTTTGCTAATGGTGTTTGTACTGAGTGCGCAGCTTACTCTATTTTATTGCGTTAATTATTATTAATATCGAGGTGCGATTTCTCACAAAAGTGTGCAGAAAACAAGGGTATACAAGTAAGAACTAAGCGTGACAAGTGACAAGTTGTATACCCTTGTTTTCTGCACACTTTTGTGAGAAATCGCACCTCGATATTCCAGTGCTGTCATTGTATCGTGTCACCCTACCTTGATTGCTATATTAATTATTATTATTATTATTATTTAAAGAGTCGGCGTGGAGAAAGCAATTTTATTAGTGCAATTAGGAGTATAATCGATGCAGACATGGCCAAACAACAACGAGTTCATGGAATTTTTAAGGATTTTTATGTTATTCAAAATCGATTTTCGTGTTCCGCTCATCAGTGAATAGTATCGGAACTGAGGGTACTGTGTACAAAAATAGAACATTTTATAACAGCATAATTAATTAAAAGTGTGAACAACAAAGGAAGTGCTACAGCATTACATAATAGGTGTCAAACATAGTGCTAACGTATATAACTGAGTGCAGCCACAAAGCAAGAGGTGATACAGTGCAACATGACACAACATTTACATCTGATAACCAGCTACGAGAACAACTTTAGCGCGACTACATGCTTCTTTTGTTTACAAAGAACAGGAATATGCACACGAATACATACAGCTTCCAGAACCTTCAACTGCTTAACATAACTTGCACGGCACAAAACAGAAAAGTGAGAATCATCGTACACACTACGACAATCTGGACGTGATAACAAGTGACAAAATACAGCTGACTTTTTGCTCACGTCGCTCTCTTCCGTCTCATCCCGCTCCTTTCCTTCGATCTCCTCCGCCTTATCCTCGTCCTCCGTCTCATCTTCATCATCATCGTCCTCATCACCACCATCATCATCATCAGTCACTTCCTCATCATCCGTTTGATGCTCAGTCTCACTGCACTCCTTATCACCCTCCAACATGGCTCCATCATCTCCACCAGCATCACAAGTCGTTTGACCGCTGCTCCGCGTCACCGTTGCTGGGTTCTCTGCTACTGCACACCCATTTCCACTGTCCATTTTGCGTGGGCCAAGTCCATTCCGTGCATAAATTTCAAGTGAATAGTTTGCTGTGCTTCTTCTGGGTCTATGGGTGAGGATATTGGTTTCATTTTGGTTTGTCGATGATCTCCCTCTCTGTCCAGACACAGTCGGCACCGTGGATCCCAGCACCGGGGGGACCACCATCTCGGTAGTCACCAAAGGTTATTATTATTATTATTATTATTATTATTATTATTATTTGAAACTCGGGTATTGAGCCAATAATAAAAGTAGAAAGGAAAAGGACATATGGAAACGAGTTTTAAAGAGTAACTCTCCACCACTGTAACTAGATACTATATACAGTAAGAAAGTGCAACAACTAGGCACAAAACTGACAGAGTACTGAAACATTCGACGTCCTGACACCTAGCTTCAACACATTTCCGTAGCGCTAACCGACAGCCTTCCAACTTGGAAGTTTCAAGGTTATGGAAAGACCAAAGAGGGGAAGGCAAGCGAACGAGCACAAGCTACAGTCCCAACGGAACAAAGAATGTCGATTGTCACTGGACGATGACGAGACCAGTAGGCGATTTGACAAAGCGGTCTAACTACAATTCGAAGCAGCAAAGCAGCACACCACCCAACTTGGGTGGGTCAAAAATATCAAAGATAAGTTAAGAAGGGGGAAGCTTTGCGAGAACGAATTGTACAAGCCGAAATCTAAACTCCTACAGTACTCCTCATGCATTACATTGTGATGGACTAGTTGACTACAAAACAAGTTGTTTCACACGACGTACGTTTCGCCGTATGGTTCGTGACGGCTCATCAGGTGTGCAATTTGAAACTCGAGTATTGAGCCAATAATAAAAGTAGAAAGGAAAAGGACATAATATTATGGAAACGATGTCACAATCACAATGACATCACAATGACATCACAATGTCATACATGAGGAGGCTAGGCCTAGGCCATTACTATCAAGTATCATGATTATGGCATAGGCGTAGGCGCTACATGTAGCGAGTCGAGAGTGACTGACTGTGCCCTGACAGTCTGTGTAGAATCTACTGAGTACTCAGTACTCACAGCTCGGAGTGAGAATAACAAGGATGCAGTTTACAGGGTTATGGGCCGTTACACGCCCGATTGGTTGAGAGACTAACCTCCTCTCCCCTGACTCACTTGTGAGGTCTGCATTCGCCACTAAGGTTAACAGGCATAGTGGTGGCCTGCGGATGCGAAGGCTAGTTTGTGTGTTTCTGAACATTCAAGCGATGCCGACGCGGATCCCGCGAATAATTATTATATTATTTATATACTTCTCCAGACGTTTCGTTGTTCTGAACAACATCGTCATTGGATAAAGTACTACAGAACTACTTTCTTTATCCACTGACGATGTTGTTCAGAACAACGAAACGTCTGGAGAAGTATCGTACATATTTCTATCGTTATTAAATTTTATCAAATATACCACTCTTTGGTCTAGAAAGAATACTTTTTTGATAATGTTAGGTATCACAAGATGGTGATGAAGGACGAAGGACCACGGCACAGGACGGCCACAGCTCATTTCGGATAACTTGTAAACTTTTGGTCCTCTTTTTGAATTTCAATCCTTGGCTCTCCATCCGAGTTTAATCTGCACACCTGATGATCCGTCAGCATCTTTACGGCGAAACGTACGTCGTGTGACACTACTTGATATTGCCGTTTGTTAGTCCATCACAAGTTCCATTCCACATGTACATGTAGTATAGTACAAAGAGACAGTGCCGTCCGGTCTGTCTTGCTTCGTGATCGCGTAACTTCCCCTCTTTTGCTCATCTCTGATAACATGAGCCTCCCAAGTTGGGTGGTCGTTGTTTCTCACGACTGCCATCCAGAGAACACGAGAAGTCCATCGAACCTTCGATTCGGCAAGCCTGCAAGAAAGCACCACTCCCTGCTCAATACACAGTGTTTCGATAGCGTTTCGAGCTCTAGTTTTTAGTTTTCTGTGGATTTTCCAGCTTCTGCGTGCCTCTGCAGCAAGCCCACTGATGCAGAGTGCCATTTGTTGCCGGTGCAACGGCAACGGCACCTGCGTTCGGTGTGACTGCAAGAGGGAGGGTCGCGTGAAGACCAGGGTACGCAATGAAGCCCGCCGCCGTATTCAGGAGGCTGCTGCGTCTTTCATCACCGCAGCTCCTGAAAGCCTGCAGCGCACTATCCACCTGGCCCGCGAATCTGGAGCATCCAGCTGGCTAACCTGCCGTCCACTGAAGGCTCATGAGTTCTCCCTATCCAAGAGTAAGTTCAGGGATGGCCTAGCTCTGCGGTATGGATGGCAGCCCAGCCGCCTACCATCAGCGTGTGTGTGTGGTGAGCCATTCGATGTGACCCACGCTCTTTCCTGCAGCACTGGCGGCTACCCGACAATCCGTCACAACGAGCTTCGTGACGTGACAGCGAATCTGCTCAAGAGAGTTGCCACGAATGTGGCAGTCGAGCCTCGACTCCAGCCGCTAACTGGAGAAAGGCTGCAGTACCGAACCGCTATCACTGACGACCAGGCCCGATTGGATGTGGCGGCTAGTGGTGTGTGGGGTGGAAGATTCGAGCGTGTGTTTCTCGATGTACGGGTTTTCAACCCTTTCGCGCAATCGAATCGGACCTCCTCACTCACCAGCACGTACCAGCGCCATGAGAAGGAAAAACGTCGACACTATGGCCAACGCGTCAGGGATATTGAGCATGCCACCTTCCTGCAATTGGTTTTCTCAGCTAGTGGTGGGATGGGGAAATCTGCCACCACCTTTTACAAGCGTGTCGCGTCTCTAGTCTCAGAGAAGACGAAAGAGCCGTAGAGCCAGGTCATGTCGTGGATCCGGTGCCGGCTGTCTTTTGCCCTGCTGAGATCCAGCATTGCTTGTTTGCGGGGCGCACGGCGGATTCGTCCCCTGCCAGCCATGACCACCTCTGTCGTGAGGGTGGTGGCTGAAGCGGCTATCCGGTCCTGAGGCAGTTGTGTTCGGTGTCCAAGGCCGGTTTTTGACATGACTGTACTAAGTACATCGTAGTTGTACATTTGGAAGTACAATTGTTATTTACATTAGACTGTATTTACAGCCATTTTATGACATTAGACTGTAGTACTAGACTGTTTTCACAGCCATTTTTGCTCTCTCGACTGTTTTCACAGCCATTTTTGCTCTCTTGACTGTTTTCACAGCCATTTTTGCTCTCTCGACTGTTTTCACAGCCATTTTTTGCTCGTTTTTCTTCCGGTGCTGTTGAGGTTGCACTCGTAATAATTATTGTGGTTTTTTTGCCCGTACAAGAGGCTTGGTTGCGTTGGAAAAAATAGCTTAGCTTCCATATTGAAGACTGAAAGGGGTTCGCTGCGCCGATTTTAATTCCTCGGGTCTTTTAGAGCTCTATAGAATGACTTACCTAGAACCTTGGCATACGTAGATCCGGACATGCAGTAGGAGTTGCAAGTGACTGTGACCTCAGCGCAACTGTACGAGTCACCAGTGCACGTGATGGCGGTAGTCTGTTTGCAGCTCTGGGACCGCACGGCCACTGCAAGGCATACGACCAGGAAAGCAACGAGGACCTTCATGATGAACGTGAAGAAGATGAGATGGATTAGACCAGCGACAAACCTAAGCTCTGTGTAGCAGCGAATATCCAAGCAAATGGAGCTCTTTGTAGTACAAGCCTGCGGGATATAGACAATCGTGATCCCCACCTATTCTGGACAAGCGATTCTGAACTGCTTTTGAACCTGTCAGATCTATGTGACATCTTTTCAATCAACTTCCCACCCGCAGCACACGAATAGTCCTTTTACTACATCATGCAACTGGAATTTGTCCGAATCTTGACGCAGGAAGGCAACAACAGGGATATATCTACATGTACATGTACTCAAATCTGTGGACAGCAACTGTTTCGCTCTGTTAGAGCTCCTCAGCACAGCTCAGAGGACCGAAGCGCAGCTCTTCACAATGAAATACGTTTCCGTGAAGCAAAGCATTTTTATAAAGAGCTGCAAACCCCGCCAAGAGTGCTCAAAATGCTCCAAGAGCAGTGAGCATTGCACAAGGCGAGCGGCAAGGGTTCGCGCTAATACATGTATCAGTACATGTCTGTATGACGGAATGTATTTTTACTGAATTCGAATGTACGCATGCACGAGAAATAAGCGCAATTACTTGAACATATAGAAGCGAATGTAAAAAACGAGTTAAATTAGTGGGCAAGGAGTGTATGCTGTATGCCATGTGCAGCAGTTCCACTAGCAAGCCTGGTAGCGAAGTAACATCGTGGAACAAAAACAACATAGAGCAATGGCCCAATGGCGACAATGACTGAGCTCCAGTGTATCTGTCCAGTATCTGTGGAGTGACCAAGCACTGTTTGTGTGTTGAGGGTGGATTCATGTGATAGTCCATCAAAACGTGCTAGGCGGGATCTATCAAAGCCGGGTTAGGATTGTCAAACTTCCGCTACCTTCTCTGTCTAGAGCCCCCAAGGAAGATCCGTCTACCACATGTTAGGCAGTCGTTATGGTTCCGCTAATCTGAGTGCTGCTGTGAGCCGTTACTGCCTTGGGGGTGCGTGACCAGCATGGCTCTAGACAGTTTTCGACCGGATTAGGATGGCCAAATACCTGTGTTCCTGGCCAAAAGGGCAGTCAGCATGCCATAAGCTCCTTCTCTGTGCACTGTGTACAATGAACTGTCTAGTACGGGATGTATCTGTCAAACATCTGTCTGGCCGTCAAACCGACCAGCAAACCTGTCCATGGCGCGCGGGGACGCCTCTTGTTTGGGAAAACAACACAATAGAATGCAATGTACGAAAATGTGATAAAAGAAGTAGTACACTATACAACCGGAGCTACCTATCTCGTAGACCTGTGCTGTTATTTTCCATCGTGCATGCTTTACTCCAGATTGGATCAATCATGATGTTGATGACGGTGATGATGGTCCTGTCCACCTCAGTTGGCAGAAACGCGGTCGGCCACGGAAACAACCGCCAGATGGCATATCAAGTGGACTAGTGGCTCGCTCTTGGGCAACATTGGCAGAGTTGCTATCGTCCTTGTTATTATCATCATCAATCATCGTCATCGTCAACAGCCTCAACAACCGCTTTCTTCCGTAGTGCTGATTGAAGAGGTTGGCTTATTGAAGTTCTTTTTCCTTCTTTTCCTTCTTTTTCCTTCATACAATTATTCTCTTCATTTGTGTTAACATCCTTCATCTTGGCAAATTGTGTTTTGTTGCCCGTAAAAGAGGCTTTTGGATTATCTCAACAACCGCAATGACATCAGAAGTAGATTCGAGATTGGCAGTGGATCAATCAACAGCATCGGTAGTGACCACACCATCGTCACGATCAACATCATTTTCTAGATCGTTCATATTAATTTTTACACGCTCCTCCGCACACACTAAGCACAGAGTTGAGTAAACCACATCCTGGGACACACATTGACCAACTAATGTATACCGGCATCACAAGTATGACATTCAACTGGCCGTCCTCGTCGTTTCTTCTTCTTCTTCATCTGTTGACTAGCGCTATCGAGCAGTGCTCAAGCTGACTTTCATGCCGTGGAATGTCTCAGTACTCATTGTCAGTGTTTGGCTAGATTGTGCACGTCTGACTGCTCAACATCTGATTTAGATGGTGTACTCGATCGCATAACTTGTGCCCACAATTTCCATGTTATAAATATTTTCCTTGGCTCACCATCTGAGTTCCTAATACTATTAATTTTATGTATTGTGCTTTTGATTTCTTCCGTTTTTTCTCCTTTTGGTGCGTTACCGACATGGCGATACTGAGACCTATTGGTCAGTGTAGTGCCTGTAGGCTGTAGCCTCACCAGTACTGTTACTATCTGTGACTGTGGCGACCGCCATGTAATGTTTTGTCCTCCCCAAATCGTACCCCAACTCTTTCTCTCTCTCTCTCTCATTTACCTGTCTTGTCTTACGTAGAACATAATTATCGGAAGATAATAATGCATCAACGGGAGTCAAATATATCACTATATTGACTATGGTGAATAGTGGCGAGAAAAGCTAGCTAAAGAGGCGAGAGAGCCTACAACTTGACATGACATTTAACATGGTGTTTAACCGTCTCATATTGGATATAGCCTTTCTAACATCCGCAGTTGTGGTGAAGACCTGAAAACATGTTTCAAGAAGTTGGCTGAGGGTACCAAGAGCTGGAAGTGATAGCGACGGATCATCTGGCACAGCAACGGAGGCGAACTGGCAGCGTTGTGAAGTGAGCGCCTGTGGGAGTTAGTGAGATTGTCCAATGTCACTCTTGTCTGTTTATTCATGTCCTCGATCTTCACATTAAACGTTCCGAACTATCTGGACAGTTTAGCATAACAGAAACCTTTTGAAGTTGATTGTTCCAACTAGGAACACACGCTTCTTGCCGAACTTGACACTTGACTGACTCACGAGAAACCTTTTGGAGATAGCTATCACGGGATATGACCACAAATTTGCTTTTGTCAAAATGGTCTTTTATAAGTTAGTGCATGGCAGGGAGGGCCTTATGGCTTGTTAGTGCCCGACAGGTTAGCGTGAGGCCCGTGGGCCCGAGGGCTACCCTGAAGGACACAAACAAGCCATTAGGCCCTCCCTGCCATGCACTACCTATTTTAGAAGGAGGTTACATGTACATGTATTATCTCCCTTGCATTATCCTTGTATTGGCTAGCTTTGTGGTTTGTGTGCGGAGAGAATTGGTGTGGTATGTTTTCTTCTGGTAGCTCAGCACCACTGAGGACTGCTAGAAGGAGAATAGAAGCGAATGAAATGCTGGGCTCTTATTGCGAGCTTCTTTCTTAACGTTATTCATAGCTTGTGCAGCTATTTTAAAAGTATTCATTCTCGCGGATATCACTCATGGCTCCTCGCGGCGTGAGGTGTCGGCTGTTGATGCTGGTGCTTTTCATTTCCCGGTGATACAACTTTGTTCTCTTTCAGGCGTCTCAGACCATTCTACTCCTTCTAATCCATGATGGGTGCTTGTTCTGTGGTCTATCATAGCGCAGGTAGGGTTGGGTGGGATAGGGTGTGCGGACGGTTATATCCGTGAGCCAGAAAGAACTGTTCGAGAGTGTTTTGAAGAGCGTTGTAGAGAGGCCAGGGCGCAGGCACGAATGCTTCAATTTTCGCCAACCAATCATCCCTTGTGGGGGGGGGGGGTGCATTTCGCCGAATTTTTGGCTGTTATACACCTAGTGCTTTCAGGTACAGGTCCTGCTCCACCAATGCGGCCTCGCGATGTAAGGCCAGTAAAATCGGGACAGTTAAGCGTCCATGATTGCGTCACTAAGATGAAGGATTTCTTATGCAGAGCTTACAGTTTTTCAGTGAAATTCGGCGACAGGGACAGTGGTGAAAATGTAACTTCGTCGAAATGTACTCGCCGAATTTGTTACGTGGCGAAAACATCAAGCTGTGAAACAGCACAGTCGCGAAATGTCCTTCTATGAACCGAACCCCTCGAAATGTCACGTGCCTAACCGACCGGATACCTTGCAACAGGCATACATGTACAGTACATGTACGTGGGCTCTCTGTAGAGTGGAGTCGGCTTTGGATGTGATTGTTTAACGGTGTAGTGAATACGAACACCAGCAGTCAAGCACAACACACATGCGAATGTCCTAGCCTGGACCCTACCAACATTTTAATGTGAATACTTAACTCTCCAAGCTGCAGGAGATAGACTTACTTGGCTTGACAATGTTGACAGATGCGTCGACTCTGCTCCTGTCTAACAGGTTCAGGGAAGATGTGAGCTGTGTGTATTATTATTATTTAAAAATATTCTCAAGGGAACTTTTTTTTTATCCAGTCGCCTGTAAACCTACATGCATCTGTCCTGTCCGAATGTCCATGTTTCCTATCCACTATCCGCTGTAGCTGCCGAAATTACTTTCTTGTGATCAGCGTGTGCCTCATCTGAATTATCAGTAGCAAAATTAATGCAAAAAATGAGAAAATTATTATCTCATTTTTGCTACTTGCTACTTGCTGTGTATGGGCTGCCCCATCAGATTGCTGACTGTTCATATTAAAGCAGTTAAAACTGTTGTGACTGCTACGTGCATACATGTACATGTATGTCCTGCCCTTTTTCAGGTATGCACAATCAGTCATGTACATGGCTGTACATTGTTTACATGTATGTATATGGCTTGTGGAAACATAATGCCGTTCGGTCGCTATATACGTGTAAAGGTCTTAGCTTTTTGCATGGCTGTGGCAGTGTGGGCCATGCCAGTCTGTTGCTGGCAGTGCGCACTTTTGTATGCGAGTCCATGTTCTGGGCCAGCGTTGACTGTTCGTTGTGCTGTGCGTGCATGGCATGATGCGGATGTGGCGGCTGCCAAAACACAGATGCCAATGCCTGTCTACTTCATCTACATGTAGCTGCATTGTCCCCGTGGCAGCCGCTTGACGTAGGACCTTGTGAGTTGTGACCATTTACATCCTTGCAGGCATGAACACTCTGCACTCTTGCCAGTCTTGGTATCATGCAATGGTGTTGAGAGGGTGAATGGCTCGACTAGTTATCTGATGGCTTGAACATGGGTCTGTCTCGTGATGCTCTTGTGCCAGTTGTGGCAAAAGAGTTCTGACAGCAGAGTCGACAAGACATAGTCAGAACTGTCCGGCTGCATGAACCAGGGCAAACGTATTGTATTAATTTTGTATCCAGGTAGTGTATGATAATGTAGTTGGATACCATACACATGCAAGTGGATAGATATTGTGCAGAGCCAAACGAGTCACGGAGTAGTCACGAGTTACAGCGTATCACGCGTCTGGTTTACGCGTCTGCAATCCGGTGTATACAGAGCCATGGAAATCTCTCCAACAAGGTATGCATACAGGGCCCTGCACGTGCGCATGCAGGGGCTCATGATGCCTGATATTGCCATTTATGTACAATGACCGGCATGTTGACGATCATATAATAATACTGTCTTAAGTATAGCAGACTACCACGAGGAGATATCATGGAGTCATGCCTACGTCCAGGCAGGTTTGCGAAAACCATGGCCGGCCATGATGCCAGTGTAATGATCTACGCTTGTCCGCAGTAGCTAGAGCGGTGCATATCCTACACCACACTCAACTCGTGATAAGCCTCTCGAGTCGCTCCGTATCGCCCGCGACTCTCCGGAGTCTGGGTAACCCGTGCAGCGCTGGTCGATGTTGCTTGAACCATCATCGACATCGTCATGATCATGTGAGCAGCACAGACTTTTTTGCATTTTTGAGTTGTAGCCAGGGTCGGAGAAGTAAAAATACAGTATGGTATTTTTACTTCTCCCTGGTTCACGTAAAGTGGCTGCACACACCTCTTTTGTCTGTTTTGCATGCTGCCCGCATTTGATAAACTGAACGTTGTGTTACTATTTGGGTCAGCTGTTCGTCCCACGCAGTTTCTCACCTTTAGCCTCAAGTTTAGGTGTTTAGTATTTGTTTGGAGTGCTTATCCGTTTGGAAAGTACTTTTCACAATGAACTGGCTGCGGCAGGTCTGCATCGGCGATCTGGACTTGGAAGACTCGACGAATCAATGGACGACAGTGCTGTCCTCGTTTTTATTCTTCTTATGTCTATACCTCATCTGCCTAGCCCTATCGTTGCTGTCTGAAACCTACCGTAGGCTAAGCAACCGGGAGAAAGTGTTTTGGCACCTCTCTATCGTTAGAGCGGTGTTTGGCGTGTTTGGCGCTTATTCTGGAATTTCCACCTTTCTGTGGACGCCAGAACTGCATGCTGACATTATCAATGGCAAAACACCGGAATCCTACTTTATTGTGATGGTGACGACTGGATTTTTCCTGTTCGAGTGCGCTACACTGTTCGCATCCAACATCTACTTCCGCTTTATAGATTGGAACCTGGCGCTGCACCATTTACTTTCTTTGATGGAGATCCTGATGACAGTCCATTACGGAAAGGCTCATTTCTTTGGCTGTCAAGGGCTCTTGCTGGAGGTCACGACACCGTTCTCGGCCGTGTGCTGGCTGCTGCTTAAAGCCAAGAAAGCAGACACGATGTTGTGGCGTGCTAACCAGTACATTCTCATTCACCTATTCCATTGCCGCACGACAGTGGAGCTCTACATCTGGTGGGCGACCTACCAGAACCTTCCGATTGTGCTGAGCGACATGCCGGTCCCGCTCGGAGCTCTTCTTAGCATTGAGTTAACACTGATCAACTTCTACCTGACGCCATTCTGGACGTATAAGAAAACGAAGCAGCTGTTCAACCCCGTCGATTGGAATCATCCCGACGCCAAGAAAACGCAATGATCTAATAGTTGACTGAGTCATGTCTATTCTATTCAATTTTTCTATCTACTGTGTTGTGAGACACGGCGGGAAGGTTACACACCGGTAGATGTCTGATGGCAATCATGAGACGGAGAGAGTAGAGAGGTTTCTAGGTTGCAACTATTTTATTCCTACTTTTAAATAGCAATGTAAAACAGTGTACGGCTGTGGCAGAGTCTGTTACCACGTCCTGCATAGTGTGTCTGTGATGGGTTTATGCTCCTCCTGTGTTGTGAACTGCAGTGCATGTACATGACATTGTGTTGCAAAACCCAGCCACCACACACCAGGCACACACCAGTGCCACACTCACGCTCTGTGATCTGAATGGTACATGTAGAGTTTTCGCTTGTGTTGTTTGGCTGTGGTTTTCGTGATGAACATTTAAACGTGCGAGCTCTACCGTTGTGCATCAACTTGGGTGTCAGTTTCTATGTAAAGGTATCACTTGACTCTTACCGCAATTTTCTTCTCCACTCAGGCCATATCTCATAGTAATCGAATTAATATTCCGTCAAGCCCATCATAAGACTTACTTCGTATACTTATGCAAGCTTACTAGGCAACATCGTAAACAAGTTATAATAATTATTCTGTTGAGCCGAGAGAGAGAGGCTCCTGGTGCCATCGCTGCTGTTGAACAGTTCTTTGGGCCATTGGCTTTTCATGGGCTGAGCATACATGTACGTACATCTGTGCTTTTGGCTTGTTTTGAAGCTTGTGAAGCATGCACTTGTTGCATGCATTCTGCACAGATAATTATGAGTGTGAGGTCTTGCAAGGGGTGAATTCCCTGAAACACTGTGTATAGACCGGGAGTGGTGTTTTCTTGCAGGTTTGCGGAATGGAAGGTTCGATGGACTTCTCGCGTGCTCTGGATGGCAGTCGTGAATCAATCTAGGGAGAATTCAAATTCAACACAAATTCCCCAATTATCGCCGAAGTCGCACCAACCAACCCCTCTTCTTCACAACAGTCTTGTAAGTAAACAGCAATTACAGTACCTGGTAGTGGCATGATCTTTTCTGTGGAGACATGTCTAAAACCAAGAGTCCATAACCCCAAGAGTGTTCAACTGGGGTCCGGCTGCTGTACTGCCTGTAGGCTCTAGGCCCATTGCGCGGCGGGATTCCAACATTACGTCATGCTGCCGAGGCACAGCTAGCTGTACAAAACTCCGCATTCCGCGGTGCTTGGAACCAGGGAGTAGTACAAGCGCAACGAACGTGGACGTCATTTTTGACGTAATGTTGGAATTCCGCTGCGCGGATCCCCTTGTATAGAGTTGCACACTCTCGATGTTATGGACTCTTGCTAAAACCCATAACCTGCCCATCCCATTCAACAAGTTGTATAAGAACTGCTATTTGATTTGTGTTGGGATGCCTGTTGGGCGTGTGCTTTCAATGTATTTGTGTGCCTACAAGTCAACGTTCCTTCCCATTCTCCACACTGACTGACTGTGCTGCCGCCTTTATTTCTCATTTTCTCTGTAGCGCTCCTTTTGTTCTTTTGTTCTTTTTCTTTCTATTTCCGTATTTTTCTATTTGGCGCGCATGAGCAGTGATGATACCGAGGGCCTTGGTCGGTTCAGCAGCTCTTGCGCCGCCTCCACTGCTTCCGCTACGAGGTGATTCGTCATTATTTAACACGAAAGTAAAAAAGCCTTCCGTAGGGTTCGAGGTGTGAATCTTTCTATTTCTTCCTCTAAAAATGTAATACTGATGTCCTTGGATTGCAATGTTGGGTTTCTTATTCACATAATCCTTGGTGTTGGGAAGCAGGTGGCAGTTGAAAAATGGCAATTTTTCCGCATATTAATTTTGTTGTGGTCATTTCTTAACATCATGGTAAAATAGGCCTTAGCAGCACAATTTCAAGTCAGTTTTCAATAGAAGGAGACCCTACGTATCCAGGATGGTCCAGCAAGACTGGATCAAGATCATGTTCATCCAAATACAAGCCATTCAAGCTTGCAATTGTGATCAACATCTGTTAGCAAATTCAATAATTGCCAATGTTTGGCCAATACCAGGGCCAACACACCGACATTAATCCTTTCCAGGCGTCACTTCCAGTATGTACCTATCATATGCTTCCTCTTCAGCTAAATATGTTGTCACTGGAGGTTGAAACCAGCGGCTATGACTCTCTTATTCTCTATTTTACCGTAAACATCGCGCACATGCAGACTGAAAGCTCTTGCAATGTCACTTCCTGAAGGAATATCAGTCTCAATTTTGGAGGCGAGCTTGACAGAACATGGGATATGGCAATGGTAAAAAGAAATTTGACGTGACTTTTTGCAGGCGCTGGCAATGAGATATTTTAGAGATTTTTAAGAAATGACTCAATGTTACAAAAAAATACGAATCACCTCGTACCATTGCTATCTGTAACTCTGCGAGGTGTTGCCAGCGTTTGCACCATGATGGTTTGCGGCTATATCTGGTAAGAAAATATACTTAGTGTGATACTCTCTATTATTTGAAATACTTCGAAGTAGAAAAGAATTCATGGTTCGCGCTGTTACTCATTTAGACCGAGTCTTCTGCATCACACTCGCCACCACAATGGTCAATGACCGAAAATCCGATCCACTGCATCCCTGTTTCCCTCATGCCAGGCCTCAGTTACCAGGTGGGTCGGGGGGGGGGGGGGAGGCTTCTAAGCAGAACTTGAACCTAGTGCACTCTGTTTCGCACACATGGTCTTAGACAATCCCACTACACTCTTCATAGGTATTAAAAAAATAGGTATAGTAACTATTTTAGCATGCAGCTGAATTTTGATTTATCTTTATCCGAACTGAGTCTGTATCTGTATGTAGGACTCTGTGAGCAGTCACGTCTCGATGACCGATCACGATCCCCGTGACCAATCAAACAGTCACAAATCCCCAAAGAGCAGTCATAAAGTCACACACCAGTTTGAATCCCGATGACCAGTCACAAACAGCGGCGACTTTCTCTGTGAACGGCCACAGGTTCCACCTCAACATATTATTACGACTCAACTGTAAGCATTCACGCGATCAACAAACTCTTTTCCTTCACAGGCTCAGAAGTGAGCAAGAAAGATTTCGATCAACTCTCGATCTCCGTGTAGTTTACTTGTAGCTCGAGCCTGGTGTGTGCATTCCTCTCCAAAACGAAGGGTGGTCGAAAATCTAGCAGGCTTCTGATAGAATCTCTTTTGAGAGGCCGTTCTGGCTAGTAGATTGTGCTATTCATCATCTTTGAAAAACAAACTTCGTCCGTCAGAAAAGCCATTTCGGAATAATTTAAGTCCGGTAATTTTGCATGCCGATCTTGGTAGAACGGAGGCTGATTTCAACTGATCCAGCATACAAGCAGCACTCGCTTTGTGTTTTTGGAGAAGATGGGTGACAAGATTACGGAGTCAGAAGTGGACATCGTCGATGATGCAGAGACAAAAATATAATGAAGATGGAAATGAAAATATGTTCATCTCCGGGAAGGTACTGAGTATTTCAAGCACCTTCGTGTGTGTAGCTCTGTCTTTCTTGTGGAAGACTCCACAGAATTACAATCCCAGCTTGTTGAAACTGAAACTGCCTCTCAGTTGACGTCGTTCAGGGAAGACATCTATTCAAGGCATCATTGATCTATTCTCAAGAACCATCGTAAGAAAGTAAAGCAAGTCATGTCACAGTTAGCAATGGGAATGGCGATGTAGACCAGAGAAGTGTGGGTGTCTTGTTTTGACTGCAGGAAACTGTATTTCAGTATTGTGGCACAACGTATTGCTTTTACAGTGTATTGCTTCGAACTCATCAAAGCTTCATTCCTACTCCCAATATAACTCTGACGGTAAAATTTGTTGATGTAACATTATGATCTTTCTCGCTGTGCTGCTATAGCGTGTATCATACTATTAGCAATAGTACGTGCATACGAGTACTGTGTACCGCTTACTGTCTTCTTGTCAGTGTTCTTGGGCGATCCTCCACACCTTCATTTGTCCATTACGTATTTTCCTTCTACTTGTTTATAGAAATATTCACTGGCTACAACTTCTTGTAATTGCTGGTGCAAATGTAGCCTGCTATGCATGCTTGTTAGTGAGAGCACACCAGATATGTAAATCGATATGTATGTCAGACCAGATGTTCTTGAACTGGCAAGCTGCTTTGACAAGAACTTTGGTTAGATAAGTTTTAGAATTGGGTGCTGAATGACCTGGAGGAACTAATCATGTTTGCGATCCGTATCACACCATGAGCACGGTTCTTCCGTCTGCGCATCACTTCTTGGCTTGTAGATTGTTTGAAAGATATTATAATATTTCTTAATGTGCGCAAGCTCCACTGCAGCCACTTTATTAGAGATTTATAATAATACAGCAATACCTGCCAGTATACTGCCTGCGGCCGCTCATAGGGAATTATAGTTTCTATAACAAATCCTGCAGTGCGAAGCACTCCGTGAGCAGTCACGAACTGCGTACTTTTCACATGTACACGTATAGTGATTTGTGACTGGTCATGGGGGGTTTGTGACTGTTTGACTGGCCACGGGGACCGTGATTGGTCATGAGGCCTTGACTGGTCACTGAGTTCTACCTGTATGTTCTAACTCCCTAACCTGGTTACACTGTCTAGGTGCAGATGTCTTGCCAGCAAAGCATACGAGACAAGAATGCATTCGAGAATCAGTTACTTTAAACATGGATGAATCTCTATTCTCACTCTCAGTTAGAAACATGGGATTCGAAGCAGGGACCTTGGTGGTGTATCTGATAACTATTTCTCAATTTCGTATTAGGCTTAAAACCAGTGTTGAGTTTGGGAGAGAGAGAGAGAGAGAGAGAGAGAGAGAGAGAGAGAGAGAGAGAGAGAGAGAGAGAGAGAGAGAGAGAGAGAGAGAGAGAGACAGAGAGAGAGAGAGAGAGAGAGAGAGAGAGAGAGAGAGAGAGAGAGAGAAAGAGAGAGAGAGAGAGAGAGAGAGGGACAGACAGAGACAGAGAGAGAGACAGACAGAGACAGAGACAGACAGAGAGACTGACAGAGAGAGAGACAGACAGACAGACAGAAAGAGACAGACAGAGACAAACAGGCAGACAGAGACTGCGCGACGGTGAAAGCAATCGCAAGCGCTGTGGACCTTTCAGCTGTGCCAATCAGTTGCCGTGTGAGTAAGTACTCAGTAGCTGGTATTTGCTGGCACAAAACTCGGAGACGTAGAGAACTGATACCCTGGTTATGTGCTGCGTGACCGGCTGTGCGCTACCTGCTCGGCCTTCAAGCATTGAGCACTACTACTTGTAGTGAGAAGTGATATTATACAGGTACATAATTATAGAGTGTAACTATGCGGTTAGTACCGCCGGTTACACTCTCCGACTACGTCATGATGTATTGCTTAGATACTACCCTGCATGCCTGGCTGTAACATACAGCGTGCCACTGCTGGTTTAGTTTTGCAGGATCATGGCTAACCTACATAGTAGCTACAAATAAAGGATCCGCCAGAGGGAGATGTCACAGATGTGGGTCCACACAGCCTCCCAAATCTCCCAATGTCCCATGCCATGGCCACCTACTCACACACATGGCACTAGTCTGTACCCGCTTTTTTCCGCTACATCAGTACACGCTATCGACTATCGTTGCTATCACTAGTATCAGTGTCACTGCAATGCAATGACTAATAATAATAGTAACACTGTACTAGTATTTATGTCGTGACAGATGTAGAACCATTAGGCATTACTGTTTCGATGATCGGATCGCACTCCGGCGGATCGCGCCATCAAGCTTCAACTAACAGGCACCATCGCGGAGGTCGCGGACTCCGGCTGCGACTCGAGTTGATCTACTCAGTGCACTGAGTGAGTCTGTATGTCACTTCACAATGAATATAATAATATTATTATGTCATGACAGGACTAGCTGTTACTACCCACTTCGGGAAGCTTCTTTATCTCTGTTCACTTGACCACTACCACTGCTTGACACAAGTCAAGTACAGATACGTAGTCTACGTACATGGACAGCATGTAAAAAACAGTCCAACACAATCATGACCTTTGCCTTTTTAGCCGATCTTCCAAGGCCAGCTTGCATACATGATATAGCACAGATAGTCAAATGGACGGTCACTACGTACATGTAGATCTACGTGTTACGTGTAGGCCAGGGCTAGGCCGGCCGAAGCGCCCAGGCGCGTGCACGATCAAGGCGATCGTACATATACATAATCATTAGGCCAAAACAAATAATGACCTTGTTTCCGGTAGGCCGAACGGGCCACTTTTTCCCAAATTCTGAAACTTTTTTTAGTCCCGAATATACAAACGGTGGCAATGCCATGTGTGCAAGTGCACTCAACGAGTCATAACTCAGTCAAATCTCAACCGAATTCCACAATCGAAACACCTACAATACATGTACAAGGTAGCAGACATTCTCAGCTGTCGACTCGAAAACCTCTGGGGTCGATACGAGCTAGAACAACGGAACTGGAAGGACTCGAACTGTTTGCTTGATTTCTCAGGATGTACGAAAACAGGAATACACCACATGCTGTACAAGAACAGTGAGTCAGTCAACTTACTTGGACATTGATCCTTGCCATGTACGTACATGTAGCATTGTAGGTGCTCTTGTCCATCAATACCACAACGATTGAGGAACCGAAAAAAAGTATCCAAAAAATTTCATTCCGGCCGACCGAGTCTCCTTTTTGAGGGGTTGCCGACCGGAAACAAGCCTATTTTTGTTTTGGCCTTACTAGAATGATCTACGCGTATACGAGGCACGCGATATCGCGATCGCGATGCGATGTCGACAGGTACTAGGTCACGCGGTTCTGGAGGTAGCCCACCACCTAGCACCCGTTGTCAAAACTAGCCAATCGCTGGCCACTCATATGGGCTTAGACAGCACGCTCCTTTGCACGAAGCGCTTGCCTACACACAAGCAAGTGGGATATCGCCTCATCACGATCATTGCATGATGTCAAGCGACTGGTTGCGCAAGCGCTTTGCGTACGTGAATGGCAATGCGCGAGCGCTGTAAAACTGGAACGCGCGCTCTAGCAGCTTCAGTCTATCTACACTTTGCTTGCTTTCAAGTTGCTGCTCGCTGTGTCGACACTTCTTGATCGTCTTGCGTAGGGACTTGCTTTTTCAAAGCTTTTCAATTTCCTCTAAGCCGAATACCCCGTACATCAACCAACAGTCACTATGTCTCTCGCTCGTCAGGAGTTCCACGAGAACTGTGAGGCTGGCATCAATGCCCAGATCAACAAGGAGTTAGGCGCTATGTATGCGTACATGGCAATGGCCAACCACTTCAGCCGAGACGACATTGCTCTCTCGAACATCGCCTCCTTCTTCAAGGACAGCGCTCAAGAGGAGAAGGAGCACGCTGAGAAGCTGATGGAATATCAAGTGAAGCGCGGCGGTCGTGTCGTCCTCACTCCTATTGACAAACCGGCCAAGACCGACTTCGACTCTGCTCTGGATGCCTTCCAAACAGCCCTGGCTTTGGAGAAATACGTCAACAAGGCTCTCCTGGACCTTCACGCCGTCTCCGACACACACAAAGACTACCAGATGAGCGACTTCTTGGAGGGCGAGTACCTCAAGGAGCAAGTGGATGCCATCAAGCAGCTGTCTGACTATTGTGCTCAACTGAAGCTCGTCGGAGACGGTCTTGGTGTATACCACTTCGACAAGACCTTCAAGTAAATGCCAGGCAACGCCACTGTCGCAAGCTTTCCGCTTCAATGACTTGTCTTTGTGTTCACTTGTGCGCTTGTTTCCTAGCTATGAGGCCTGTCTTCTTTCTTGGCAACTGCACTTGTTTCTAAAACACTACTTAAGTCTCGCTCGTAGACTCTATCTCTGAGCACTTTTTTTACACCGACTTATTTGATCTGGTGTCCAACAAAAAGTTTCCAGCTAGCCGTAGATCTACTCTGGTTCTACTTGGTTTGGTGATTGGGGCCAGTGGGGTAACCTGCGGTACTGCGGAATGACTTACCAAGAACCTTGGCATGCGTAGATCCGGATAAGCAGTAGGAGTTGCAAGTGACTGTGCCCTCAGCGCAACTGTACGAGTCACCAGTGCAAGAGGCGGCGGTAGTCTGTTTGCAGCTCTGGGACCGCACTGCCACTGCAAGGCATACGACCAGGAAAGAAACGAGGACCTTCATGATGGATGGAACGACGGGCGAGATGGATGAGATCGGCGGCAAAATTACAATTTCCAAAGTTCAGGCCTCCAGAGATAGTATTACCCATTACCATCCACTGGGCCGAGAGTAGCTAATCGGATACTCTCCTAGCCAGGCAGCTCAATGCCAGATAACTAACTTCTAGAGAGATGAATGTGGGTTTATATAGGAGCCAATGACCCAGTACTTGTTCATTGTTCGGCTTGATCGCAGTGTAACCCGCAACACGCACTTATTTGGACTTTTTGTTTGTTTTTTTGTTTGTTTTTTTGTTTGGTTCGCTCAAACTGATGAATATTTTGGTATGACTAAATCCCGTGCAATACATGAGTACATATTGGTGATAATGCACTACAAAGTTGAACAACAAGGATGTTAGTTGCTCCCAACACTGGAGCTCGCACTTGTTA